TTTAATGTATTTTTGGAAACTTTAAAAAAAATTGGTTTGCACTTTTTTAAAAGCTAAGATGGGTTGCTTAAGAAACTCCGGTCACGGCCATTTTTGACTTTCCTCTCTGTGTACAGATAAGGAAAGTATAGGAATCATGATAAAAGTTGCTTATGATATCATTCTCTATTATTTTGTTTCTATACATGATTTTCCTAAAATGGACCTAATTTGAGATATTTGATGAAAAGTGTAAATTTTGAATTTTGAAGATAACTCAAAAACGGATGAAGAGAAAAACACCAAATTTTAAAATTAAACTTTAAACTATCCTGCGATGAGCTGATTAAAGTTTGGGCATAATCAAAGCATTTGGGGAACACTTTACAGGGTGTCGTTTTTTACTTTAAGAAAATAAATAGTTTGGACCAAATTTTCTTAGGCAACCTATTTGCGGTATTTTTAAAAACATATTTTATTTATTAAAAAGAAAGTTTCATCCATTAAACAGATGGGTGAAGGTCGACCTTATTTCGGATCTTAGACTTTACATCACAAACAAAGCAGTATCGAAGGCTTGATCTTAACAGCATTGTATATATTTATAGCAGTTGGCAGCAGTATTATATATTCATAAATTTAGAATAAGTGCTGAATATAAGACATTCTTTTTGTAACTATTATTACCTAATTATTCTTGTTGTAGTTTTAAAAAAAATATGTTGCTGTTGAAATTATTTCTAAAACAACATTACACATTCCTCTTTTCCTACGTCGTCAACCTTCATGTACAATAATTTTTTCTCAATAGCATTGTATTTATGCTTGATTATTGGTTAAACAATTCTATTCAAATAAAAGTATAGTAAATCTTTTTATTAAGTTGGAAAAAGTACACCACTCAATAAGGACTAAGGATGCCTATTCGTTGTTTCAAAGACATTAAATAATATATCTTTCAGGATTTCTGAAATCATTTTTTAATGTCTAATAGTACCACCTATCAAGAAAATATCTTGCATTGTCTGAATAAAAACATCTCACAAGTATTTAAAAAACACAATGTGTAAAATCATCCAATAGTTATTCAGAATATGTGGAAAAAAGTATAAATTCTGATAATAATGAGGAATAGTATATTACATAACATGTGTGGAAAGTGATATATTACGCACGGAAACGTAACGAGTGCAAGGAATACACGAGTTATGTACACTATTTTTCCTACGACCCAAACATTTTTAATCTTCATAAATTTTTAATTTTATTAAATAGTGATTATTTTATAAATCTTATATAATACTGTGCGTTTCTTTTCGTATTTTACCGATCGCTTATATTTGGCATTTTCGAAGTGTCAAAACGGTGCGTTAACTGACATTTTCATAGGGGTCATAGGAAAAATATCTTACAATAACTTATATAGTTTCAACAACAAAATACATTCTTGGTTTTGGTTGGTCGAAGACACAATTTAATAGGTAGTATTTATTTTCTTACTTTTATTTATTTTTTTTTTCTTAAAGTGCTCTTAGTTTTTATGCTGCCCACATAGAGCATGAGTCGAAACAAAAATGAAAATGTTATCGATTTTTGTTTTTAAGATTTAAAGTCATAATAACTTAAAATTAAAAAAATCAGTACAAAGTGAATACATACGGAACTGTTTTACATGTTACTCAATATTTTTTATGTACATGTACCTTGAGCGGTACCTAAAAGTATTATTAACTTCGTTTACTGATTGTAGGAAATGATATTTATAGGAAACATGTGACATGGTAAAAAACTCGAATTAAAATAGTAATAGTTGTAGAAAATATACAGTATCCTACTCGTTTTTAAAAAATTCCTCATATTTATTATAATTAATTTTTTATTTCAAAATACCTTTGATGTAATTAAAAAATATTTATAAACAAATAGTATTTTCCGGTGGTCTCGAGTAGAGTCCCCACTTCTCTAGGTCCCTATGAATAATGAACGAGTAGAGTCCGGGAAATGGTTGAATATAGTCCGAAGCTCATTATCTCAGGTAGCTGGATTATTTTATTAAAAATTATACTTTTTAAGGGAATATGTTAAAATTGAATATGGTAATAAAGTAAACCAGATAAAAAAATATACAGGGTGTTTCAAAAAAATATGTCATAAATTCTTCCTTAGATAGATTACCAAAAAATAAGTGGATTTTTTTTGCTATATTTACTTATATCAAAAACTGGCTCCCAACAAAGTTAAGGCTAACATTCAAAAAAACGTTTTTTTTTTGTAAAAAGTTTGATGTTGCGATTTTATCTTTGAAATTTTTGCCAGTGCTGTAGATTTGAAGGCCCAATATTCTAAAGAGAAAACAAATTAAAGCGACCCCTTTAAAAAATGTCGAGGGGTTGGGTACCTTTTAAATTTTTTTCATAGCAAAATGAACGTTGTAGCTTTCTGAGTTAACGAGCTATTTACAATTTTTAACTGAATTTCTAGATCAATTCGTCCGTCCTGGACTTAACATATCAACAAAACTAAGAGTAGATCAGGAGTTACAAAAAACGCATATAAAAATCAGTGGTGTGCCTAGGGATGTGCTTGAGCCGCCCCTGCAAAAAAATACCAGAAATATTAAAAGTTAAACTTATTTACACTACTTTTATTTAAAAACTACCTAAATGCTTAACACTGCATTAATGTTTCACATTTTATTTTATTTATTATTACCTTTGCTCAGAGACCTTTTTGTGGTGTTTTTAATGAGAACCCATCTGACTTCTATCGAAGTACAGACTCGTCTGACGTTTTGTGCGGTTCAAACAAATAGATACATACATGTCTACGTGACCGAAACTAGTTAGCCTTGAGTGTTTCGCGCTGATGCAATTCGGCGGATGAGGTTATTGCCACGTACACATTTGTTTACAGATGCTGATAATAAACATCTGGATTCGCGAGCACAGGACCGTCTTTGATATGTTTTAAACGGTTTTGAAACAGATCACACTCGAACTCCTGGTACGAATTGCGCTATAGGGATAGTTTCCTAAACATTTTTTCAGCCTTTATTCAAGTTGTAGAAGATCAAATTTCAAAGAACTTTTTAAATAATAATTTTGTACTTCTAATACTTAATGAGTTAAAGCACATTATGACAAAAATTTCGTACGCTTTGGGAGTGGATTCCATTTTTTTAGAGAAAAATTACCTCTATGAAAGTTTTAGAGAATCAAATTTTAATATTTTTTTTTTTATAAAATTTTGTATTTCTAATACTTCTAATTTTTAATTTCCTTAAAATCATTAAGTATTAGAGATACAAAAAAACATTATAGAAAATGTTGATGAGAATTTAATCCTTTGTAAATGTCATTTTGCTTTAAAAAATAAAATAGGAAGCCACACCTGTGGCTGCGTTCGAAATTTTTATCTTATAAGACTCGTTAAGATTCGTATTAATGATACAAAAAAAATTAAGGAGAAAAGTCGTTTAGAATTTGATCTTCTAAAACTTATATAAAGGCTATTTTGTTCTAAAAAATATTTATAAAATCACTCTTATAGCGCAATTCGCACCAGGAGTTCGAGTGTGATCTTTTGGTTAGAGAAAAATCATGCGATTGCCTAAAGGACCTAAGCGTGTTTCTCGGTTAATACTGGTCCGATTCAAACAGAAAAAACGGCATTATTTAGAGAACGAGATATAGATGAACGTTGAAGAGAAAAATCATGCGCAATACCAAATAACCTAAGCGTGTTTCTCGGTTATTACTGGTCCAATTCAAACAAGAAAAATATATTATGCAGAGAAATTGGCATAGATAAACGTTGAAGAGAAAAATCATGCATAATGCCAAAAGGTCCTAAAACCTATATCTCTGTTATTACTAGTGTGGGGAATTACATGTACATTAACGTTATAATGCGCAGTGACAGGCCAAAAGGGCCTAAAACTTATATCTCGGCTATTTCATCGATTCGAATGAGAAAAACGGGGGAGCTAAGGAAATGCCATACTGATGCGCAGTGGCCTACCAAAAAGATGCATTTTAGTAAACGTGAGCGGTGAATGTTTTGTTTAATGTTTTGTTTCGTTTGACGTTTAGTTTCTGCCAAAGGGGCAGTATCAAGGGTTTTGTTTCAACGCAAAGTACTTAAACTAAAATAACTACTGAAAGCACAGTCAAAAAAGCCAACAGAGTTGCCAACCTAACAGCCATAAATGTCAAGGAATAACTGTCATCTAACCTAACATAGGATCTTGGACACCAATGATTTTTAAATGTGTAGTTCACTGTGTGGACATTTTAATAAAGATTGGACAAATATTGCTAATAATTTAAATGGGGGAAAGTTATTTATAATAGGGTAAAGTCAACATTGGACAATGAAAATAAAATATATTTTGTTTCAAAATTATATTTTTAAAGTAACATTATTAAGTATTTACAGTAACTCATAGCGTTTTCGACTGGTGAAACTGGTGCGCACCTTTTAACACTCTGTGCAACATTTGTTTTCGACTCGCAAGGGCAGTGCGAACCGGGTCAGTTTTTGAATTTTCGGTTGGAATCAGTTGAACTCAAAAAAATGAACTGGTGCGCACTTTTGTAAACCGAGTGCAGAGACAGGTTTTCAGTTCAGTCGTAACAAATATGGCGATGGCAAATGAAGAGTTGTTTGTAAATTGTGTAAATGTTGTAGAATTTGTAAAGAAATATTAAAAACTTCTTCGTCAATTCAGACAAAGAAGATTTATTTAAGGCCAAGTGTAATAAAACTAAACTGCTAAAAATAAAAGATTACATTGAATCAGTGGTGTCGCACCTGGATGACTCCCAGGTAGGTACAATAAATATTCTTGTAAGTCCTGTATATGCATAGTATACGCTGACATCTTAAGTACTTAGACAAAAGTAAGTTTATGTTAATATATTGAGAAAATATTTTATAATATAATAATATTAAATATATATTAAAAATGAAAGCTTGGTTTGGATCTTGTTTGGAATTTGGAAGGTATTTCTATTTATTACTCAGATGACAACTGTCAAATATAATACAACGCACTGGTGGTCAACTGCGTTTTCGGTTGAATTAAGTTTGTATGACGTCACTAAATTAAACCAATGCTGATCAACGAAAACTCGCACTTTACGAGTATGAACTGAGTGTGACCAGTCGAAAACGCTATCAATGAGTTTCAAAATCGCCTCACTTTGAAGCTCAGCTTTTTTATTTAGGCCCATTTTCAGTAAACTTGTAATTAGTTTCTTTTTCTTAATTTGTTTTTCTTTGTAATTATTCCTAATTTCCATTCCCCGTTCTGTTTTGTAAAATTGTCTTCGTTTCTCGTTAGCTTCTTCGCTCCGCCTTATTCCTTCGGCACCTCTATCACTTCTACATGTAGATTTATCATGAAGTTCGTGTTCAGACGTGTATTTTTCTAAGTCTTCTACACCTTCAGATGCTAATTCTGAAATTTCTGTGCGTACTAAGCAACACTGTTTTCCTCGGGAATGCAACCAATTTTGTTTGAATACTCTTCTATCGTAATGAGAATGAGGTGTACCTCTAAGACCATCTCCATCCCTTCTAAGCTGCTTTTGTTCATCAGCACAGGTAATGTATCTGAGGATACCAACAGCATGGTCCAAGCAAATTATTTTCTTAAAAGTTGTTTTTGAATGGAGTCGTGTACCAGTGCGCTGTAGCATTTTCTTGTAGACTAACATTGTAAATCCATTAGTAAAATGTATTAAAGCGTGAAGATGTTCATGTGCTGTACTACCATCGTCTGCTATTAGATGACATCGACAAATAGAATACCATTCAATATTTGGAGCACAAGCAAGAAAATTAAAGTCCTTTTCATTTAATATTAAGTGATACCATTCTTTAAAAAATTCTTCGTAATCCTGTACCATTTCCTATGGTGACAATGCGTTAATTTCATTTAGATTCAAGAGAGTCAAATAATCAGTTTTTGACAATGAAGACATTTTTTATGATTAAAGTTTTAGTGTTTCAAGTAACAATTTGCTTAAAACTGTTTTATTTCTGAATTAATTTATTCCTCAATACAGATGTCTTAAAATGATGCTCTTGATACCTGAAGTTATCATTAATAAATATTACATCTAACCAGTCAAAATTGAGCTGTAAGACTTTAAAATAGTCATATAAAAATCACATTAAACCAATTTGATCACAGTTTACATAAACAAAACAACAAAGGGATAAAGGCTCCTATTGCAATAAAAATAGGAAACATAAGTGAGGTATCATCCATACTGTATTCATCAGGCTGTTTTGGACCACTCGGTCTTCTAGTTTTTTGAATAGTTTCACTTTCTTCTTTGGCATCTTCAAGAGGATAAAATTATTTTTATCGAAGCTACTCGTAGAAAATGTCTCAATACCTTAAACAAATATTTCATTACTCCCACCAAGATTTTTGCGCATGCGCAGTAGTACAAACGAACATGATGTAAGCGCCGTTGCAACATGCGTTCACCTGAACGAAGGTTGAGTTAGGAGGGCATATGAGACGTTCTAAAGCAATTTACCGAGAAAAGATGAAAAATAAGAAAACGACGAAACAAGGAGAACTTCTCGTATGCCCTCCTAACCTAACCTTCGTTCACGTGAATGCATGTTGCAACGACGCTTACATCACGTTCGTTTGTACTACTGCGCATGCGCAAAAAACTTGGTGGTGGGGGTAATGAATTATTTGTTTAAGGTATTGAGACATTAAAGACTCTTCCAGTCTACTGAGACATTTTCTATGAGTACCTTCTCTAAAAATAACAAAAAAATGTCTTCATTGTCAAAAACTGATTATTTGACTCTCTTGAATCAACTTGTATTTGTCATGATCATAAACAAATAATAAATAGTTCTGGAAATATATATTAATAATAGATAATACTAAATATTCAAATTCGAAATCTAGGTAGTTAATCCTTTAATGACTTAATCTGACCCTGGACTCTACTCAGACATCTAAATTTTGGACCGTCATTATAACAGGTATAAACAAGACTCTATTCCGGTCTGCTCGTATTTTCTTTTATTATGACTAAAATTGATACTTTTGTCACGAGTCTGTAGGTAATAACAGACCAGTAACAAGAAGCTCCTTTTGTATTAAAAGATATTATTTTTTCTTTAAATCTAAATTCGTTTGACGATCAAAGGAATTTTGCCTCTGCTCTAAAAATGCTGTATTTTTGTTAATTCATCCCAAGTATTTTTAGCATCTCCATGACAAGGTTTTTCATAACATACACTTTGTTTTTATACTATTTAAATACAATAAAAAAAACTATTTTCTTGATCTAATGAGAGACTTTTGTAACTAATAATAATTGTAAATTATCTGTATTGAATAATGTTTTATGTTGCTAAATTAAATTAATATTTTTTTACAACTCCGTTAATCAATTTAAATTTTGTAGAAATATAGAATTTTTAAAAAAATACATCTCCATCTTTTCTTTATTACCTAAAAATTTCCGAAATATTCAAAAAACTTCTATTCAAAATAAAAATACTAATTTTTCAACACAGTTTTTAGGCCAATATCTATACAAAAAATTCCTCCACAAAGTGTGTCACAATCATTTAGTATGTTAAATCAACCACAAGGTTCACATGACCAATACATTGTGGGCGCTTTAAAGTTTCGCAATAGGACTACTATATCTGGAACAAATCTGTTGATTCTAAAATCATTTTTTGAGAAACAACATTTTATTACTGCATCGCAAAAAGAAGAATTGGCCAAGAGGACTGGAATGACCCAAAGAACTATCAAAAATTGGTTTAAGAACCAGAGACAGTTGTTAAAAAAGAAGCAAGACCCACTGAATTCAGATCATTTGTAAGTTTTTTGAAAAAACCAAGTACTGTAGAAGATAATGAAGACACTTTGTCGGATGTTGCCTGTTAATATATTTCAATTTGTAGAAATATAAAACTTAAAAAAATATATATCTTTCTTTTCCTTATCACCCAATAACTGTCTGACATATTTATAAATACTCTCTACCTCTTTCAAATAAAAATACTAACATTTTAACACAGTTTTTAGGCCAACACGTGAACATAACATTCCACCACAAAGTGAATCGCTTGCGAAACTTGAAGAATTCATTATATCAACGACTGACCATTTACCTCATCAGAGACCATTTACCATTGCACCGCCTCTGCCTCCCCAAAACCTACCGACCACTATTGAAAACATTCCAGTAACACTTCATCTGTTACAACCTCCACAAAACCAACCACAAAACCAACCAAAAACCTCAAAAGATGACAACGGTAGGGTTTTGGGCACTTTGAGGGGTCGCATCAGGACTACTATATCTGATAAGAATCTGCTGCTTCTAAAATCAGTCTTTGACAAACAACGTTTCATTACTGGATCGCAAAAAGAAGAATTGGTAAAGAGGACTGGAATGACACACAGATCGATTAAAAATTGGTTTCAGAATCAGAGACAGTTGATGAAAAAAAAGCATGAGAAATATAAGACACATTTGTAGAAGTTTGATCAATATAAAATTCCTGTTCTTAACGATGGAGCTGGTTTGATGTATCCTTTAAAAGTTCTCTGTATGTCTATCATAATTGAAGCAAAATTTATTGACATTAAAACATTAAAAAAAAATATTTAATTGATGAAGAGGTTTGGAATAAACCAGAGATTGATTAGATGTAGTTTTATTTTGGTTTTAAAAGAAACTGTTATTATTTAAGAGAAAGACAAAATACCGTTTGTAAATATTTGACTGTGCTGTATTTGAACTATTTTTAATTTTAATAAAGATGATCTTAGAAGTCCAGATTTTAAATATGGTATTTATTATTTCAAAATATATGTATCGGCTCGATGGAACAGTTCGTTCAGCGTTAGGTAATCAGGTATTAGGTTTTCAGCGGTTAAAACCTTAGAATATATATAGTCAGGAAGGAAGAATCCTAAACAACCTTGGAATCGCGATGGTATCTAATTTTGACAGTGAACTAGACGAATATGGCGACAAATGTTTCCGGTCTACCAGTGACGTACTGTCATAAAGGGGCGTAGAAAAGAAAATAATAAATTATCATTTGCATATTATCTAAATTTACCGATTTCTCTCATTTTAACGAATTGCTATTTTCTTGCGAGAAGTTTGCATTTTTTTTAACCTTCATTATGTGAATAAATTTTACTTTAAAATTGCATGTTGGGTGGGATAAATATAGGAAAATATTTTTGGGATAATTTATAGAGGGATTTAATTTGAAAAATCAAAGCAATAATGTATTTAAAAAAAAAATTGACTTTTTACGTCTTTATTATGACAATGTTTTTATTAATCTACATTTTACAAATTATTAAGGTTTAAAAAATAAATGTGTTTTGTAGATATGCGTTAAAAAAAATTAAATATCCTATACTTATATTTAGGCCAAACATCGCTGTGATATTTCTTTCCTGTTTTTGTTGGAGTACATATAAAACTTCCTAATATCGCAGAGAATTTCTGATCATTTTATTACATAATATTATTAGTAATATTTTTTGCAGGACAATTTTGCATAAGCAGGTAAAACACCTTTCCAAGAAAAGATCATATAACGTAATAATGATTTTATGAGTGCAAAATAGATTATTTCTAAATGTACATTCAACGCATTATTTGTATGCTTAGCCCAGTTATGATTGTTATGTATGTTACTGAGGGTGTTTCTATTAATAATTTTAATCAATTCCAGTTCTCTGCATTTTACAGAATAACTGTGTCATCTGAAAAACTTACAATATTTCCATCTATATTTAAACGACAAATTATTTAAAATAAAATTAAACAAGAAAGGACCTAAGACAGTATCTTGAGGCATGCGATATGCTAGGAGAGTGGTACACAATGAAACGATTTTTCGAATATTTCGTATAACTTCCGACTTTATTATTTAAAGAATTTAATTTTTTTATTGCACAGTTATTGGATATTTAGCTATAAATAACCTTAGTTAGTTTTTTAGAAAACCATACTATTTAGGTAAAAAAAAAATCTACATAGATGTTTTTATAACAATGTGTACCACTAATGGTACAGTTTGAATCATGAGGTAGTACACAATGAAACAAAATGGTACACGTATAAAAACATTTATTAAAAAAAAAAAATCAGTTGTGAAAGAACGAAAACATTTTTTATATTTAAAAAATGTTTGTTAAAGAACTAAAATAAACTAAATCAACTCAAAAAAGGGAGAAAAACATTTTTTCTTTTCAACCTATCGGTAAAAAAACTAAAATCTTTATTTTTAATAAAAAGTAATAGCAAAAGATTAGCGCACAATCATGTTGCCAAAATCTTCTGAATTTAAAATATGATGAAAGCCTTTTGTTCTTTGTATTTATCGGATTCGGTAACAGGATTGCAAAATCTGATTTCAGCGCCATATGAATGTCCGGAACATCTGGAAAATAGAATGAATTTGAAACTTTTGCACTCTTCCTCAAATACGAAATTTTAAATTCGTTAGAGTTTACAGCTTCCAAAATTTTATCAACATAGTGAATATTATTTTGAAATTTGACCAAGACAAAAGAATCTTTCAAAATTTCAGTAGTTTCATCAATTGCTAAAAATTCTGATTGTTCCTTCTCTTCCTGCATCATATGGTACTGAAATTCAGCTGTTAATTCATCATCTGAAGAATCCGCAAAATGCAAATCTACACTTTCTGTGTCCGTCTCTGAATCTTCTTCACATGTTTTGCTTTTTTCTTTGTATCCGTTTTGTCTGCAGTTATATTTCGTTTTACCCTTTTAACTGCTTCTGTTTTAGGAGTTTTTTTTTTATTTTGTACGAAAGTTCTTTCATTTCTGGTGTACTGGTTAAAATGACACTTTTCTTCGATATTCGTGTTCGATTTAAATTTTTTCGAGGAGCTGCCTTTGGAAGGCCCCGTATCTCAAATGGTGAAATAAATTAATCTTCTGGAGTCGACGCTATTTCCAAAGTGGAGTCTTCCTTATCATCTGCACACTGTTGAGGATCGGTTGTGCTACATGAAGCAACAGCGGTGTCGTTGCCACTGCCGCCGGCATCTTGTTCATCGTTCAGATTTTCTTGGACTACAACCATTCCTTGTTGGAGGTTCTCCTTTTGGGCGTCTTCAGGTATGTCAGTCACCGATGAAACAAGAAAGTCACCCTCCGTAAAAATATTTTTATTGAATGGGTAGATACCCGTCGAACGGAACCCGTTTAATATGTTTTCAGGCGTCATTAATTTTGAGTGGGCAATACCAACACATTCAGCTATTTGATATAGCGTCATAGGTACGGCGGGGTGGGTGAGGAGCCACGAATCTATTGCACCATTGTAAAAGTTCTTAAAAGAATAAAACACTGTTTTGTCTAAAGGCTGCAAGTTGTATGTGGCGGGAGGGTTAGGATAATGATTCCATTGTTTTTTGCCTTTTCCGCTATCTACAGGGACATATGTGATTCGTGGTTATCATATATTAATAGGCATGGCCTTTCTTTTGTCACACCAGTATGTTTAATAAAGTGGTTTAACACCTCAACAAACAGTTCAGCGGTCATCCACCCACTTGGATTTGCTAGTCCTAATGTGCCTGGGGGCGCGCCATTTAACATATGAGGGACAAACTTCTTTCGGGGAAAAATAATTATCGGCGGTAGAGAAGTTCCGTTTGCTCTAATTATAGCACAAGTAGTGGCTAGTAATCCTCTTTCGGCACTTGTGCATTGGTTCAACTGTTTCACCCCTTTTTGTGTAACTGCTTTATGTGGACGCTGTACAGTTGTAGTAGCAGTTTCATCCAAATTATAAATTTGAATTTCCTGAACAACTGCTGGGTTATCTCCATATATTTTCTCAAGCTGTAGGAAAAATCTTTCGACATTAGGTTTTGTAAAAAAAGTAAGCCTGGATAAAGAGCAAGCTTCTGGCTTTCTAATACTTAAAGACGCATTTCTTTTAATAAAAGCTCTTAGCCAATCCTTACTCGCACACTTATTCCTTCTCCAGGAATCTGGCATATTAATATTGTTCCCATTTATTTTGACCTCTTGGACTGCTGCGGTCATTTGATCTCCTGTAAATTTAGCTCTTGTTCGCTCCTTCTTCTTCCTTACCATGGTTGCCTACAACTAAAAATTCCACGGTCAGAAAGACACGGTCAGGTACACAATGAAACATGTTTCAATGTGTACCACTACGCACTTTTTTTTCATTGGACGTAAATCTAAGACAAGAACATTTTTGTACAAAAATTTTTATAGGTTTAGAAATGCATACCCTAATTATTTATAACAAATATAAACGGATACTAAAACTGCTTAATTGTAAATAACATACCTTTTTATATTGGCTTCTTTTTTTTACTTTAAGACACAAAAAACAAATTGGGTCATGAAATGTGCACTCTTCCGAATATCAAAAGGAACTAACGGGTGGCTGATGCAACATCATAAGACTCATCCACGACAGCGCTAGTGGCGTTGAAGCGGCAAATTCAAATTGGCAGATTGCAATGTTTCATTGTTTACCCCGTTTCAATGTGTACCACCCTCCCATACTTATTTCCTTACTTGAGATTCTATTTGTGTTCGTTTTTGTAAATAATTTATAATAAATATATATAGGGTGCATCATATTCATACAATAAACTTCTATTATACGAAAAAAACGGCACATCATATAGTTAGTAAAAAATTTATTTACTTATATACTTCAACCGGACCACTTTTATTGTGGGAACAGCTGTTGGTAGAAGTCTTATTTTTGGTTTTGAGGTTCGATCAAAACAATCTGCTTTAAAATGGCGTGAACTAAAAAAATTAAGATTTTGGCTCACAATTTGTTTGTTGCATGAACTCAAGCCATAACTTTGTTTTTGAGAATCTTTAGGAAATCTGAAAATTGTCTAACTGGGATTAATTTATATAATTTGTAAATCTAGAATCTTTAAGAAATCTGAAAATTGTTTACTTGCAATAAATTTATAAATCTAAATTGAACAATAATTTATTCATTTTAACAACCACATAAATATCTTGAAATTGCATAAAAGAATTGTTTAAATAAAAGTATGTATATCCTATAAACCATGAGACTACGCCTATGAGCACAGTTGATCACAGACGCACTTACCATGTTTGTTTACAAATTTAAAACATTAAAAATTTTAAAAATCTTTAATGTGGTTAAAAATTGAGAGAACAAAATACTTGCTTATGAAATGTAGATTATTGCTTTTTACTTTTAGCTGTGCTGCTATCCACAAGACGAACAACTGACCATATTGTCTTGTTTGTCTTTTAACGCGGAAAATTTAAAATTAACAGTAATACTAAATATATACTAAAACACTAAACACTTTTTAAAAATGTCTACCAAATATACGCTCGATAAAAGTTTAAATTTACACATAGAACATCCAAATTATTAACAATTTTAAATCACTAAAATTATAAACTAATTTTAGAAACCATTTATCATATGATGATGAGTCATTCATAGTACAACATGTTTACCACTTCCGTCAGATCGATTAGATTAACGCGGACATGGCATGCTCCTTCCTGAATATATATGTTCTAAGGTTAAAACGATAGTGTTTATATAATATCTAGGCTTTAAACCTAGTGGGTTATCATGTCATAATAATAATCATCCTTTGACAGCACTAGCTCTGCTTTGTGAATTGTAGGAAGCTAATTATTATTATTGTTGTCAGAATTATTAATAGAATTATAAAAATTTAATAATTAGCTAGAATGTTTGTTAATTTTGTAGTTAAATTACTAAAGTAGAAAATAGTTTTTAGTTCACCAACATCAACTGGAGTATTAGCAAAGCTTCTGGATTTCACAACGGCCCACAAACAGTTCCTAAAACCAGAAACGTCTGCCCAACAACCAACTCAACCTGTACCACAAATACAGTCTCCTCCGCCATCACAAGGGCACTCTCAACAGCCTCAAAATCAACCTCAACCTGAACTTCAAACTCAGTCTCAACAACCAGATCAAAGCAGGCAGAGCAGTAACCAATTTCCACCGAAAGATGACCCGTTCGCATTTTTGAATGTCAGAAACAGGACGTCTATAAGCAAAAACCAGGCCGTAATTTTGAAAACTTATTTCGAAAAAAATCAGTTCGTCGATAACGCTCTGAAAGAACATTTAGAAAAAGTGACCGGTTTACCTGGAAGAGTGATAAAAATTTGGTTTCAAAACAGAAGAAGGGAAAATAAAAATAAGATTAAGTATGGAAATCCTTAAAATCAGTGTAAAATTGACGATGTTTAAAAATATGTATTTGGTAGTGTAGGGTTGAGAATGCTAACAAATCAAATTTAGATCTCATTTTGCTTTTAAGTATAGTCCATTCACAGTTATTAATTACTTACTAACTAGGGTAACTGTCACTTGTTCTAGACTATGCCATAAACCAAGTGTATTTTAAAATAAGTAACTCTTTTGCTATTGTATTATACTCCTTTTATACCAGGTGTTCAAATTAAAGTATTACAGTTAAATACCGCCGAAAATAAGCATTTTATAAAAAAAGTTTCAGACAAAAGTTTTATAGTTTTTTGTGGGAAACATTTTTGCTAAATTTATTTTTTTATAGCTGACCATAATATGGCCATATCGAGGTGGATTTTTTTTTCAAATTGAAACCCCATTTTTTACATATTCTTAAAGTTCATAAAAAAATAAGAAACTTTTAAAGGAAACATTTTTTTATTGGACTTCTACTTATTGAGTAACACCTACTTGAAAATTTTGCTACGCGAAAAAAAGTTGCCCATATTATGGTTAGATATGAAAAAAAAAAAACGATTTTAGCCAAAATGTTTTCCCCAAAAACCTGTAAAACTTTCGTTTGAAACTTTTTTTATATATAAAAGGCGGTATTTAACTGTAACACTTTAATTTGAATACCCATATTGATGAATTGAAATCCAAAATAATCATTGTTAAGATACAAGTGTCGTCAGTGGCGGCTCGTGGGTATCAGTAGGTATCTGTACTGTGTATGAAAAAAACTTTCAGTCTTTTAGAAAGTTTATAATATTCCTTTTTAAAACACTGACAGTTTTTTACCTATAGTCCAGTAAATGAAGGACTGAAAAGATCGAAAGCTGTAAAAAAATCGCTGATGAGTTCCCACGTAGCTCAATCGCAGGTTTTTTAAACGCGTTCCTGGTACCGGAAGGGGCTGAAAAAGGACCCCTAAACTCTGAAAAACGGGTTTCCCACTAATATCTGGCTAAATATGCCAATTAGAGAATTTTTGTTCAAATAAAAAATGAAGATCAGCTCATTCTTTACAAAAATGATCCCTACCAATTTTTTCGCAATGCCAATATTTTTTGCAAAATCAGACTTCGAAAAATCCATAATTTTCATATTGAATAGATATGGTAGTTTTTTGCCGAATTTCCGCTCGATGGTGTTGGAAATGCATTGATCTTCATCTTTTGGACTTTAGAGACCAATTGCAAATGGCGCCAGCACCTTTGCTCTTCTCCGTAAATAAAAATCTCGGAAATAATCGATTATTCGACAATTACTTACGGATTTCACCTGATTTTTTTCTGCAAAGCAGCGCTTGGGCTCTCTCAATTGTATTAGCGAATGTTCTGTGCAATTTGAGTTGCAAATTTACCAGAAAATTGCAAAAATTTATTTTACCTTGTGCCAAGGTCTTGAATCCCGTTGTTTTGGCTAAAAGCAAATGACAACTTTTAGAGCGTGGTGAATATTCACCATACAACCATTCTAAATTTTTTTTGCATTTTTGCGATTTTTTTTAAAACTTTTTTCGGAATAATAATAATAATAATATGGGTGCAGGGTTTCGGAAAAAATACGCAAGTCTTTGAAAAATTACATTTATTTGGAAGAATTGGTTGGATATAAAACATCCATAATATAAGCAACAATTTTCTCTAAAATATCTGAGTCCTTGGGCCGTCCTTTCGGTTTAGCCTTGCCAGAAGCTTTTTCAGACAATTAATAGAATGCCAGTCGACAGACTTCATGATATCTTGCACCAAAAACTGTGAGGTCGATCCCAGAAATTATATCTAGCGTCGCTTTATACTTTTTTATATCAATATTTATTTATTTATTCAAAATCCATACAGGCTTTTTAGCCTTATTACATGGATAGTATAAGATAATAACAAAATAATTAAGAACTTAAAATTAAAAAATGACATACCTACTAAAGCACTAAATTATAAATAATAAAAGCTAGAAAGGAGAAAAGAAAAAGAAAAAGAAAAAACACGAAAACAACACAATTTCACCAAACAATATCAGATCATATACTCATAATTTCAAAATAATGTAGAAGTGTTTTCCGATATTCTTGATATGGCATAGTCCAGTCTAAATTCCGCATCATATTTATATTGTTGGCTAAACGTAGAATGGCGTAGAATGGAGAATGAGTAGAGGTTGTTTGTAAATTGAACATTAAAGGGCAACGAGTGCGTTTTGGAGGAACATTGATAGGAACAAGAGATAATAAAGTGCTAGATGAAATCTGATTATTCATTAAATTAAATAGAAATTTCATCATTGCTTGTTTACGTCTAATGATCAAAGAAGGAATTTCAAATTCTTGTCTTAATGTCTGGGTTCTTATTTCATTATAGTCTGGCCAACGATGATATTTTTTATAATACAGATAGCGAAGAAACTTATTTTGAACCTTTTCAAGGGTATCTAAGTACATTTGTGGCTGTTGTTTCCAAATTATAGATGCAAAATCTAGTTTTGACAGAACAAGTGTATTGTATAATAATTTAATGGTTTCCAGGTTAGAAAATAATGAAGTTTGTCTTATAATAAACCCTAAAGTACGATTAGCACTTTTAACTGTATTTTTTATATGAGTGGCATATGATAACAGACTCCAAATATGAGCTGTGATCTGATTCAGAAGTGTGGTCTTGAATTCTGTGTTCGAAACAAGTACGATGGTACGCTTCTTTACCAAACTGCTCTTTCTTTTCTCATTTTTTATCGAAGCAGGTAACTGACAGAACAAACAATTGTTTTTGAAGTCAAAGCCACTATGGGAGCACTTCTTTTGTCTCTTCGGGCTCGTTAAATGGTCCAACCGTCTTGAAGAGTGCTTGCCAAACTCGTTGTACGTGAACGTGCCTCAAGATTTAATAATATAGCGGTCCCTATACTTGTTGTGCATTCGTACAGAGGATTGTTTCTGGAGAAATAGGTGGAAATTATCGCATCTCTCCTTGCTCACTCGAATCAAATTTTCTAAACCACGAGTAACATTTACACCGTCATCCACAACACCCTCTTTATAAAGAAAGCATTCTGGAACGGAATCCGCTTCCATTTCAACAACACCAAGGGCTACCAAAAAATAGATGATCCAACAATTACACCAAGTTTTTAAAGTTGAGGCAAAATAAAACAAACCTTATTTTCTGCTTCCAACAAAAAAATCCTTGAATATTCTTTCTTGTAGACAAGAATAACGTGAATAACTTTAAACACTTCTATTTTTTATAACTGAATTAATTTAATGAAAAATATTTATTTTATTTTAAATAAATAATGAAAAAATATCATCAGTACATCAATAATCCGGTCAAGCCGACGACTCCAAAACAGAGATTGTATACAAACACATGCAGACAACTACCGCCGCGAGGTTAGGTTATATACAATATCATGGATCTCAGAGGGGGAGCGTAAAAATGAAGTATATAATGTAACAACCTTTTTAGAACCAAGAACGGATATGGGTATTGACTTATATCAATGGAAAGGTCAGAATACAAGCTTTGATTTGATCTAGTTATTAATCCTCAAAAAATAAAGAGCGGGGAACCAGAAATGGTTAAACAAAAAAGGGCCGGTTTTCACTCGTGTGATCAATTTTACTCATTTCTTGAAAATTATTAGACTCTATAAAAAATAAAAAAATATATTCGAAAAGTAGACCATCTAAGCTTTAAAATGATGTGCATTGGCAATCAATATAACGGATCATAAGATTATAATTCGCGCTTGTTCCGAAGATTCTATGAAACTCCGAAATCGGCTAAAACATGTAAATAAACAAATCAATTTTGTATTAAAACGCAAGAAAAGTATTACAAAAAAAAATTCTGAGATCATTCAAAACCCCCCAAGGTCCCATTATAAAGGCAAAATTAGAATAAATGACTATTTTTAAAGAAAATATGAATAAATTAATGAAGCAGTCTCTAAATATTGTTGAAAAAATTTTTACCGCTTTTTTAAATATTTTTGGCAAATACGAGCTGACTTCAAGTCACATGGAATTGTAGCTACGGGTTTTCCCATTGCAATAAACTTTGAATCATTGAAAAATATCATTTTTTTCCCGAGATATGGAACAATTCGTCCGCCCGCTTACACGTTAATTCATAGAAAGCGGAATTCCTGCAGCTGGAGCAGCAGCTGAAATGAGGGGACTTTTGAGTGCCATTATCTCAAAAACTATTAAATTTTCGAAGAAAATGATAAGGACCATTTTTGTAGATAATGGGCTGATCTTCATTTTTTGTCCAAAACAAAATTCTCTAATATGCCTATTCAGTCAGATATTAACGGGAAACCTATTTTCCAGGTTTCAGGGGTCCATTTTCAGCCTCTTCCGGTACCAAGAACACATTAAGGTTTTTCTCGTTTAAAAACACCTGCGATGACCTACAAATTGCGCTATGTGGGAACTCATCAGCGAATTTTGTACAGGTTTGACCCTTCAGTTACTGGATTACTATATCTATACCCGGATCTACATTCTGCTACTGTGAACCCCCAAAATTTTGGTCACGAGCCGCCCCTGAGTGTCGTAATAAAAGTATTATAACACTTATAATAACGAAAAGTAAAGCTCATGATATTATTTTATTTCCAACCCTACACTACATTCGATTGTTGATAAAAGCTACTGTAGTATTTGGAGATCTGACGAAAATAAAAATTTTTGCATTTAAGGAATGTGTCAGTATTGCTTAACTATAATTTTTGTAAATATGGGAATTTTATTTAAATCTTAAATGTCTATTTCAATGTTCGACATCACCTTTAATAAAGTATTTAATGAAATTGTGTGTGTGTTTTTTTTTTAATAATAATAATAAATTTTATTGACCTCATATTAACCATTTACAAACAACTTTACAAAGTAAATAAAACATACAAACTTATGATCAGTTAAAAACTGTTCTTCCTCAAAAGCCTACATGGAAGTTAAAAAAAAA